GCGCCCGAGACAAACTTTCGATTTGCACCCCCCCCCCTCTCTAACTTTCGATTTGCACCCCCCACCCCCTCCACCGTTATCGGAATTTGTCAAATTTGCTCTTAAGACTATTTAATTAAGTGAAATTATCATTTTTCTCTATATATTTTGCATTTTTTTGCCTTGGTGTCACCACCCTAAATGGTGTCACCCGGTGCGGTCCGCACCCCCCCCCCCCCCCCTCAACACCCCTCGCTACGCTACTGACATCATCTGGTTCTTGACCTCAAGTCCCATGTGTTTCCTTGATTACTCAATATAACGTCAAACTCAAACGAGGGGTGGGGTTCATATATAGTGTGACGTCACACTTTTGTATTTGAAAAAGCTGAATTTTCCCCGTTATTTTGCGTTTTATAAATCTGTTTTAGTAAATTGTAATATAAATTAATCACTAGCATTGCAGTTAATTAAATGAAGGTCTAGAATTAGTATCAACATGAAAGTAAAAGACAAATTATTTTGATGCCAAATTTAACGTCTTGGCATGATGCAAAAGAAGTATTTCTTTCAGTCATCTGTCGGGGGGGGGGGGGGGGGGGAGGCACCCTCTGACCATCACTCCCACCCCTCTCTAGACAAAATAGGTAACAATGAATAATTTATATAAAATCTAGAGAATCTTTTAATTAATATTTAGATCTAGAAATAAATCTATGTAGATCTACTTTACTTTTACAAAGTCTTTACAGATTTTTTTAACCATTAGACTGATTAGACTTTTGAGGAGAGTAGACAAGCTCATAGACTAGCCTCTAGAACTAGATCTATTCTAGATTGAAATTAGAAATCTAGATACTAGTCTAGATTCTAGGTAGATCTAGATAGCTTAAGTCTAGATTCTAGATATTTATATATCAAGGTAGACTTAGCTTAGACTTCTTTAGAGAGTGTTAGACGTGTAGATAATTTAATTTGGCAGTAGTAGTCGGCATACTAAAAAAAAAAACAACAGCAACATCTTTGATCTAGATTCTAGTCTAGTCTAGAATTAACAACAACAAACGTATTTCGTCCGGCTATTTTTAATTAATTTTTAGTTAAATTTGTTCCTAAACTCGGCAGGCCTAATTCTAATATTACCATTCTCTTATAGATCTAGAATCTAGACCTAGAGATCTAGATCTAGTCTGGATTCTAGGCTGATCACGTTTATTTTTTTTATTCACAAGTACAAGACCATTCGTATGTCGTCTGCTGTTGAATAAAAATCCAACTTTTCTTTAAAAAGAGTTCTAGTAACTCTAAATCACGAAATACAGCACTTACTGACAAACGTGGTTTCATTTACCAAACGGTGATTTGTAGATAACGCCAATAAATAAAACAAGCTTTTTTTCCCCTTTCATTTCTGTTTTTTTATGTGCAATCGAAAAGTATTGAAATTCTAGCGATACGAAGTTTTCGTTGGTGCTAGACCCGGCACTTGAGGGTGGGTAGCAGATAAGGGGAATTAAGCTGTTGGTGTTGTTTACCCACACCACCTTAAACTAACACTCGATTTCCGTCGGTGTTGTCTAACACACGTATGCCTAGCTCATAATGCTTGCTGAAATTAACTTACGCAAAGCGTTCAATAAATAAAACATAGATCTATATTTTAACAACGAATTTCTCATTTTTTCCAGACGAGTGACTCTACCATTCAAAAGGCGCATCAATCGCTACCTGCAGGTGATGGGAGCACGTGACGCAATAACTTAGATTTGATTGGCAGAATCCACCAAGAAGGCACGCGCCGCAAAAATGGCATTTAAAAAAAACATAATGCATGTATTAATTCATTTTTTTTTGTAAAATGAGTCTTTCCTTTCTTATGTCATGCGCCGTTTATTATTTTAAAAAATTTTTTTTATAAAAGGCGTAAATATATAACTCAAGAAGCGTTGTTAACCCCAATTTTCGACTGTATTTTTAAATAGAGAATAATTAATAATTTGAGTTTGTTCTAACCAGGATCTGTAATCTGATTTAGGATCCGAGTAAGAGCTATTGCTCTCTCCCCAATTCTCTTACAAAGCTGGTAACGTTGGTAAAGTGTGATCTTTTGTTTGGAGAAATTAAAGTTAATTTATCAGTAGCACTCAACGTAACAGCAGACAACGGTGGCATTGCTACTTCCTTAAGCAGAAGTATGTAGCCCTTCATACCATGCTATAAGATAGCCACAAAAAATTAATTTAGTATACTACTTGAAATAACAAGTGCTATGTTGAAGCAAGCTTCACAATGCTGACACTACCACTAATAATGCTGTTGATTTCAGGTCAGCCCTGACAATTGATACAATCAATTTGACCAAGGAGTTTGTTTTTATGTCTTCAAATCATGTGCAATAGAACAATATTATTTATATTAAGTATATTCATCAAAATCTTTTATCATGTGTGCAAAATGTCATATATTTATTGAATGAAACCGAGCAAGCGATACAACCAGACAGTGGCTGGTTGTTAAGGTCAAGTGGTTTCACCGATTGAAAATCTTTGTTGGCTTTATTTATTGTCTAGCTTTTTCACACAGAGTCAGGCTAGTTATTATATCAATTGTACTTGCTCAATTCAATGTGTGGAGACAGTTGCAGACAATGAGTGCAACTAAAAAGCTTCCTGCTGTCTGGTGTGTAACTGTGGTGAAACAAATATTTTCATGTGCTGACATATTGCAATACAAAACAAGTTTCATTAACCACTGATCAAAAACTGTTAAATTCTTGACAATTTGGGTACCCCCCCCCCCCCCCCATATTACACATAACTAAACTTTTGCTTACTTAGTGCAAGAATAAATAATTTATAAATAAAAACGTAAGCTATTTAACAAAAGTGCAGTGGTTTCTGAAACAGTTTAAATGTTAATTTATTCTTGATATATCTTATATTTTTTATATTTTAAAAAGAAGACTACTTACTACAATAGACATTGTTTCTGTTAATTTTTTTGCTCAATGTATTGCTCAAGTCAAAGTATTTGTACAGAGATATTGTGACCTCCATGTTGCTATACCATAGTTTAGAGCCTGGTATATCTACTGCTAGCATTGTTGAGATTTTTTAAAACTACTCATGTTATTGTTGTTGTACTACTTTATAACCTGGATTGTTAATTGATGTTAAACTCTGACATGTTAAAAGCTTATTTTTAAAAAATTATTTTTGTAACTCACAAAATTTTCAACCATTAATTAAATGGAAAAAAATGTTCTAGTTTGTTTTGCTTTAAAAATTGGTTTTACTTCCTTGTGTAATAGCTGTTTATGGGCTGATTATGTTATGGTATTATTTCTCTCAATGCATACAGATGACACCTAAAAAGAAAAAAAATGTCCATGCAAGCTAAGAAAAGCCATACAGTAACCATTTGGTCCATTTGTTCATGGGATTTTCCTCAAAAAAAAAAGTTACATCTTAGGATGGCTTTCAAAACAGTTATAATTCAACACAGTAAAATATTACTTCTTTATATACACATGAATATATAAATATATATTATTTTAAATGTATACATTGAAAACTAAAAGTGCTAACTTTTTTTTAAATGAGCATAAATATTTTTTAAAAACTATTTCATTAAAATGTTATGGGAAGTAACAAATTAGAAAATTCACATAAGTAAAAACATCAGTAGTTTCCCTTGTTTGTTGGAAAGTGTGACATTGATAGATCTCTATAAATTTTAAGTCTATATGATAATGACATGTTCAGCTGTAGAATTCACTTGCTAGCATGGGGAACACTAAAGTGCCAGTGATTTGTGGCAATGTAAAATAAAGACTAATAATATTTCTGATTTACATTAATCAATATCAGGTTTTAATATTTATGTAATATTTAATGACAACTAGTTTTATGTCTTTATTGTTTTTCTTTAAAAACATTTTCATAATGAAAGAATACCTTTCACCTCACCTAACAATCCACATTCAGCGATTAGAATCAAACAAAACATGAAGGCTTTAGGTAAATTGTAAACCATATAGAGGACATACTGAATGGGTACATATGAGTAGAAAGAAAATAATATCAAGACAATACAACTGAACCCAGTGTTACATTAAATTTCTAGCACACCAAATGTGCAACTGGGTTGTGTCAATGTACCTGCTGTGTTAGACTAAGCATCCAGTCTTTTGGTAAACCAAACACACTAACAGTAAAACACTAACAATCAGGACACTATTTATTTGGGTAAAACAAAGAATTGTTGGAGATAGGACTAGAATTTTTTGGCATTTAAAACTAAGTTCCTTCAATTTGAAAACACACTTTGACAAAAACTTAAAGCCAAATAAAAAACTTGAGCACTGAAATTGAGGCAAAAAAGTGTTAGGGAACTACTGTGTGTGCTGAAGGCAACAGTCTACCAGTTGTAATTTATGTCAGAGTAGTTGGTGAGCACATTTGTACCATAATAATTGGGACAAGTCAATCTACAATTGGTCAATGACAGCATTGAAATGATAGTTTACATATTTACAAATCTCTCCAAACACACAGCAGACACACATTTTAATCAAGGCCATTTAGTGGAACAAAAAGTAAGAACTAGCTGAAATCTGTATTAGCTTGAATTATGACCCATTGTGACAGTCAATCAGCTCCCAAGAGAATGTGTATACACATGGAAGGACACCACACTTGGCTATACAATTATGAGCAGAATATGGGAACTAGAAATATGTACAGTAACTTCATCACATAGGAAAGTCTTGATTGACTCCAGTACATATCAGCTCAAGAAAATCTCCATCAGTCAACATTCTCAACTACATAGGTAAGGTTCTATTCTGGTTAAGTCAGTCTCTAACTGACTGATTTGATAGATTTACTCATTTCACATTTTTTAAAAACTATTTAATTATCTGTAGCAGTAACACATATTAAACTTCTCCTAAAACGGAAAGGATATAATTGAGTAAAGAACACATTAAGTCTCTTTGTTAACTTTGTCATCATCCGATGGTGTAGACCAGCCTATCTTTGTCACCATCATCTTTCTTGTCTAGACCAGCCTATCTTTGTCACCATCATCTTTCTTGTCTAGACCAGCCTATCTTTGTCACCATCATCTTTCTTGTCTAGACCAGCCTATCTTTGTCACCATCATCTTTCTTGTCTAGACCAGCCTATCTTTGTCACCATCATCTTTCTTGTCTAGACCAGCCTATCTTTGTCACCATCATCTTTCTTGTCTAGACCAGCCTATCTTTGTCACCATCATCTTTCTTGTCTAGACCAGCCTATCTTTGTTATCTTTGTCATCATCCTCATCCTCTTGTGCCATGACCATAGCAATGTTACCAGCACCAGAGCCTGAGGCTGGCCATGAAACATTGTAAGTCACCTGATCAAATAGAAAAAAGACAATACTAGCCATGAAACATTGTAAGTCACCTGATCAAATAGAAAAAAGACAATACTAACAATGCTTTCACACACATTAAATCAGTAGTTATACATTGGAACGTCCTTTTCATCCACGACCATAAAACCACAGTATTGGGACATTAAAATACTAATTTCCTAACGCTACAATATTGAGACGTTAAAATACAATTTCCTAATTATTTTCTTGGATGGACCAAGGCTATGAAAGCAAATCCAGAAATCTGAGTCAACGAGCCATTACATAACATGTTGAGACATACTACTAAATTATGTTGGAGTAAATGAAGCGAGAACAGTCATTACTGTGTTTCCACTAATGAAAGAGAGTATAAAGGAACTAACCTTATCATCCGATATAACAGTGACAGAGTCTATTTTCTCTTGCAGCTCTGCTCGTGCCTGCACCAGAGCCTGATGGACCACGATGTCCCTCTGAGCCCTCTCTTCCATCATCACTCTTGATATGTTCATCTGGGCTTCCATACGGCTGGCAGTTAATGCCTGAAAACAAGGACACATTTATGTCAACACATTTCCTTCTCAGAGAGACTAAGAAAACTTCCTTGCACCACCAAAGTAGCCATAAGTAATAAACACTGAAAACATGTCAAACATATAGGTTCTTGGAGCTGAAATATTTATTCACTTTATCTCCTTTTTTTGGGAATTTCAATTCAATGAATAAAAAATACTTTAAATATAATTTCAGCCACAGGTTGTCAGGTGTTGTCTACCTTAGTTTAGTATGTGAATCAGGTTTATTGCAATGGAGATAGTGGCAAACGTGTAAAGAAAAATGTATTTACTTTAAATATATTTAAAAGGTTAAAAACACACTGTTTCAAATGTAAAGCAAACAACCTGATCCTAATACAATGTCTAAAAACTTAAAGGTCAAGATTTGGTTGAGTAAAGTCACTTTGTTCTATCAAACAACAAAGAGACTTACATCTTGTTTTTCTTTCTCCATCTGTGCCCGCTGGTTCTGTAAGGCACTTTCCTTGGCTATTAAACTCTGCTGTTTGACCTGCTCTATCATGATCTTCAGCTGCTGGGCTTGTTGCAGTAGGTTGTTGGCCATCTGAAACATGCATACAATATGTTACTGGCCATCTGAAACATGCATACAATATGTTACTGGCCATCTGAAACATGCATACAATATGTTACTGGCCATCTGAAACATGCATACAATATGTTACTGGCCATCTGAAACATGCATACAATATGTTACTGGCCATCTGAAACATGCATACAATATGTTACTGGCCATCTGAAACATGCATACAATATGTTACTGGTCATCTGAAACATGCATACAATATGTTACTGGCCATCTGAAACATGCATACAATATGTTACTGGCCATCTAAAACATGCATACAATATGTTACTGGTCATCTGAAACATGCATACAATATGTTACTGGCCATCTGAAACATGCATACAATATGTTACTGGTCATCTGAAACATGCATACAATATGTTACTGGCCATCTGAAACATGCATACAATATGTTACTGGCCATCTGAAACATGCATACAATATGTTACTGGCCATCTGAAACATGCATACAATATGTTACTGGCCACCTGAAACATGCATACAATATGTTACTGGTCATCTGAAACATGCATACAATATGTTACTGGCCATCTGAAACATGCATACAATATGTTACTGGTCATCTGAAACATGCATACAATATGTTACTGGCCATCTGAAACATGCATACAATATGTTACTGGCCATCTGAAACATGCATACAATATGTTACTGGCCATCTGAAACATGCATACAATATGGCTATCTAAAGGAATTTGATTATTATTTGAATTGATCAAGACAGAGAATTACTTTCTAGTAAAGGCCTACTTCTCTTGTAACAGAATTGAACTGATTAAGTAAATATTGCATTCAGACCTGCTACAGAATCTATTTCAGAATGTCTATTCGCCTTGAAATGTGTGCTTTAAACTATTAATTGAATTTGTTCGCAGAAATAGTAAAAAAAATACCTGACTTTCCTCTGTGATAATGTCTTAGCCAACAAGTGCTTCTTCCTGCCAGATAACTACATTTTAAGCTACTGCACTTTAAGATTTTAGCTATTTTAAAATCCAGAGACCATTTTACTTCCTCGTATAAAGAGCATAGAGTATTGTAATAGTATACAAAAATTAAATGTGATTTTGACATTTTTCATTGTTTGACATCTACACACTATCGTATACATTATATTCATACAAAAATCAAAATGGAGATTTTCACTAATAGAACTTTTGGAGCCGGAAAAATTGAGTTTTTCATTCCTGTGTTCTTGGATATTGAAAGACCTACCTACTCAAGCTGCCACCCAACCAAGAAATTGATGAAAGACCTACCTCCTCAAGCTGCCACCCACCCAAGATATTGATGAAAGACCTACCTCCTCCCCAAGATATTGATGAAAGACCTACCTCCTCAAGCTGCCACCCACCCAAGATATTGATGAAAGACCTACCTCCTCCCCAAGATATTGATGAAAGACCTACCTCCTCAAGCTGCCACCCACCCAAGATATTGATGAAAGACCTACCTCCTCAAGCTGCCACCCACCCAAGATATTGATGAAAGACCTACCTCCTCAAGCTGCCACCCACCCAAGATATTGATGAAAGACCTACCTCCTCCCCAAGATATTGATGAAAGACCTACCTCCTCCCCAAGATATTGATGAAAGACCTACCTCCTCCCCAAGATATTGATGAAAGACCTACCTCCTCAAGCTGCCACCAGTTCTTCTGCTCCATAACATCCATTGTGACTAGTTGGCCTTGTTTTTGATTAGGCTGAGCAAGTGCTATTGGTGTCATCACTACAGCATCTAGGTACAATAAAACCAAATGAGAACCCAGTGACGTATTGATTGCATTTTTATAGCCAAGTGAAACAGGTACAAAAGTTGGTGTTACTTGCAAGTGTCTTCTGATCAACAGATTTGATGTAGGTTTCTTCATTGGGTGTGACAATAGTCATGCCATATAAACATCCACCCCCTGAGACAAAGTTTCCTTGGGCATCAGTGGCAACAATGTGGACCATTTCCCCCTTACTGTCTGGGGTGTGATGTAAGGAAACATTCTGTACAGTGGCTGCTGAGGGCATCACGCCATGTCCAGACACCACAGGTACCATCACTTGGGTTGCACCTGGAATACAGTGGCTACTGATCATTCAAAGAGGTTGAAAACTATGGAAAATAAAGTGGTATTATAACTGTTATTTTTATTTATTCCATATAACAATTAACTCCATTACAGCCTCAAAACATGAGCTATTACATACTAAATTGTTATATTATAGTTTCATGTACATTTATTTGATGTGAAGCAAGGTGTTTCATTAATTTTAAACCATAAAGCAATAAGTTCTGTACTTTTTAAAACAATTGCAAAATTTAAAATTGTAAAAAGTTGTTTTTTTTATTGAAAACAAAGTTTACCTTGATCAACTTCTAGTTTTGGCACAGCTATACCTAACTGTGGGGTCATTGGTGCCTTTATCAGCTTGGCTGGCTTTTTGTTGGGGGACAATAAAGTCTCCTGCTCAAAATCCTTCTTTCTTCTTTTGTAGGGCACAAATAATCTAACAGGTCCAGTCTAAAACAGAACACCAGTTGTTACACAAAGGCATCAAACAATTCAAGTACTTAAAAAAAAATGTTTTGATGTAAAACAGGTAATGTGTCAAATTATTCTGGTGATTTCACAAATGTTTCCTTCTACTAACCTATAATCAATGAGAGCCAGCAGTTTAGTTTAATCCCAATAAATATTTAAATATGATGCTGTGCAAGGCTTTTACTTATAATCATGTTCTAAATGGGTTACTATTGTGAAATGTCCTCATTTTGAGTTTTTAACTATCTTACAGGCAGTTTGTGTTACGAGGTCATCCATAAAGATGTTACGTAATTTTTGCCAATTTTTACACCCTCCTCATGTTGTCACAAAAAACAAAGCTTCTCCCTACAAATAATATTTATAGCCTGAAGAAAATGTAATATTTTAAAATTATTTTAGCTCTATAGAACAACAAACTGTTGATATTTTTTTATTTAGGTATGCCACTAATAGTTCATTGTAAGTATCAGCTACAGTCAAACTGTGCTAATCATTTCTCAGTTTGTATTTTAAGTGTTAATATCAATTATGTTTACTAGGCCTATTAGCATAATAAAACGACAAAATGCTAGATTAAAATGAAATTCATACCACAGCCTCATCATCACAACATGATGCACAAGTACAAGATGTAGCATGAGGTTGTAGAATATTATCTTCAATTAGACATTGCAATGTTCTACCACCATAACGTATACTACGCTTCCAGTCTTTACTACTAGCTCTCCCTGCAAATGACTCAAATTCGTTTGGTGTGAACCATTCATTGTCAGCACTTTTAATGCACTTTCCTCTGCCCCCTGAAAAAAATTAAGAACATGTAGACCATATGAATTTATTTCATACTTAATGCAGTTTGAAGAGAAGGCCCGCAATACAATGTTTCTTTATAGGCCTATATAAAGGCCGGTGTAAATAGTGTAATGGTCATCTATCTTACTCCTGATCTTGGTAAAACAAAATTGTACAAAAATGAAAAGCAGTCAGCCTAAATACTAGGTTAAATAATATCAAAGATAATAGTAGCCTAAAGACTGTAGATTAATAATCATTATAATGAATCTGATATCTTAAAAATCAACACTCCAACAAGATAGAGGCCTATAGAGTACTATAGAATATTATATAGTTTTTCTAGTTCTGGATGGTGTTGGTATCAGACTTCAAATTTAAGTAGATCTATATCTAGAAATCTAGATGTCTACATTCAGATATCATTGTTGTTTTGTTGGTAAAGCATTTGCTTGGGCACACATAAGTAAGATCTTTTAACTTAGCCACACCACTATCTATGTTTTTAATTTTTAAAAAAGGTGCCTTCTTCAGCCCTGGAGGTTGATCAGATGCCGACCCTTGGAGGTGTGAATAAATTTGGGCAAATTAAGAATGAATGGTCAGTCAGTAGTGAGTAGTGTTGCATGTTGGCCAGACCAGTACAGTCAAGCAAGTCAATCAAACTACTAGATTCTACAAGTGACAGTGACATGACCTACCTGACCCAAATTTAGATTTATACAGTTCTCCATTTGTATGTTTACACCTAACAGGCAGTATATCATTATGAACAGATTCGTCCCATTGATACCGAAAACCTTTTTCTTTGCCTAGCGGTGTTGATGGGGTTGGAGGAGGGAGAGGAGTAGTTGGTGTTTTCAGACCACCTCCGGCCTCAGCTAGCTGATCTAGGGTCTGATCATGAATAACTATATGGGTAGTTTTTATAGCACCGGCAGTTGCTTCCTGAAACTGTTGTGCACTTATAAGTCCCTGTGATGTTGTAACAAATACATGATCAGCTGATATTGAAGGCGAAGATACAGCAACTGCTGATGATTCTGGCGGAGTTTCCGATCCATGCTGATGTTCGTCAACGAAGGCAGAATCGTCACCATTCGGTAGATCTCCGGCAATATCAGCCTCAGTCATTGCCCAAGTGACAACGTGTTATCAGCAGTTGAAACATACATATTGACACAATAAATAATAGCTTATCAACAAAAGCTCAGATAGAAAGTGTCGCATTATTGATCAACGACATATTAGACACACAGTGAAAGGAATATAATACCCCCATCACGGAAACGTCCGTTGTTTCACGAAATATGGCGGAGAAATCGACCGGAGAAGAATTAAAAGCTAATTAATCTCTAAAACAATTTTTTTAACAACTTAGAAAAGCTGTTTTATTATATTATTTATTAAATCAAAAAAATATACACAGAATGAATCTAATAAATTAATTTTGACTGTAACACAAAACGCACGCTTAAAAAGGTGTTGTCAATTTAATTTTCAATATTTCAAAGAATTAAAGGGATTGAGGCTATCACTACACAACACAAATGGCGTAAATATGGCGTTATCTCGCGATGACAAGAGAATGTTTTCTGTATGTATGCACGCTGGAATTTAAATTAAAAAGATATTGCACTCAAAAGATTTATTTTCAATATACAATGAAGATAATAATAATTTAATAAAGGAACTCAGTTTGCTTTATCTACTATAGATAATAATCTAAACACTGATACTAGTGAAAACCTATTTCCGATAATTCGAGTTTCTGAGTTAAAGAAACGAAATGATGGTCTCTAGATCTAGATCTAGATATCTAGATCTATTACTATCTAGGTTTAAGACTAGATTTTGACTAGATCTAGACCTAGAAGAAATTTAGATTGACCACTAGGCCTAATAACAACACTTTTTTAGATTTTGCAATCATAGCAAACAAAAAAAAAAACAGATTCTACACCAAAAGCCAAAAGGGAAAAAACTTAGGCATGGGAATTATTTACAAATAGGGCCTATAAATTTAGGCCTAAAATTTTTAGAATCAATGTTATTTAAGTTGCAAAACCAGAGAACTTGAAATTCTTTTTTAGTTTAAAGCTTTAGAGTTACATTTGTATTCATTTTATCAAACAACAAGTTATTAAACCTGATGTTTCACATGCAATCTTCAGTTAACTTTAGTAGGGTTGTCGGCATCCGCCGAGTTCGCGGTAAAAACATGACCCGAAATCGCCCATTACTTTCTGATACCGGACCCACGAGATTTGGTTTTGCATACTAATAAGTTTTTAATGTATGGTAATTAATTAAGTTTAAAAGGTCATTTCCTAAGGTTAATTAAAAAGAAGAGTGGTTATCCCTTAGTTTTAATGGCTTTGCGACCTGATTGCATGCTGTCTCTGCTTTGGTCTTCCCTCTGTATCAAGGTTAGTTTCAAATACGTTGGAATCTCGATTTTTTAAAAGATTCCTCTAGATGAGAGTAGATTACTGATCAGACATATCTTAAGTAATTGGAAATGAAATTTGTTTTTGGATATTTTGACTCCGACATTAGTTATACCCCTCCGAACGTAGTCACTGTATGTAGGTCACGCTGCCACCATTGTTATATTTTTTCATCCCGATCTTCCTGCCTTTAAGTTTGATCAACTAATAACAGCATTCTTATGGCATGTGCAAACAAATCTAATTTTTTATTTCAAAATATATTTACATACCCATCTTTAATTTTTTCAGCTCTAGTTCTAGTTTTGCAGAATATGTTTTTCCTAAAAATCCAATTTTGTCAGACTAGACTCTAGACTGACGGAGAGTCAGACCTAGATCTAGGTTACCTGTCTGTTGCTATACACTAGCATTGTGCTAACTGTAATTTTAAGTATTCAAGTTCTACTTACCCTTAGATATAGTTATATGCTGAAAATCAGAATCCATACACAATTCACACATAAAAACATTGATCTGATAACTTCATTTCACTTATTACAAAATGGCTTTTATATGGACTCTACTTCACCTGCCCAAAATAACAAGGCAGTTATAGACACATTACAGTGTTCAAGTCATTTACTTTAGATTTCTGACTATGGAGTTCTTTCATTCACTGTATTTATATAAAATATTGCTTTAGAAACATTTTCATATTTGCGCAGCAGTTTTATAACAAAATGGCTTAAAGATGGACTCTACTTCACCTGCCCAAAATAATGAGGCAATTATATGCACATAACAGTGTTCAAGTCATTTACTTTAGATTTCTAACTTTGTAGTTCTTTCATTTGCTGTATTTATATAAAATATGGCTTTAGAAACATTTTCATATTTGCGCAGCACACAGTTTTTTGGGGTTATGGGAGGAAGCCAACACAAAAATATAAGTTCTGTATTATTTTTATTAATTTCAACAGCATTTACAAGTTCTATATATCATTCTAGTTAAACTCTGCAAATATGAACAAAATACAACTGCAAGTAAAATAACTATGCTCAATTTATTCAGGTATACCATGACTTGTCACAATTGGCCAATGCTAAAGCAAGGGGATTCCACCCCTCACAAAAAAATTCGCAAAAAAAAAACTATTTGAGCTAGACAAAAAATCTTTTTTGTTTTGTTTTCATTTTGTTGAGCTCTACAAGAATATGTAATTTTTATTTTTATATGATGATTAGTGTTTTTTTACCTAAATCCCTAACTTTAGTAGGCCTAAAGTCCAACAAAAATCAAACAGTAACAGTCAGATTTTTATAACAATATTTATTTTAAAATTTTTAAAACAATGGGACTTTTGAATAATTTTTAGACTTCTCAATAGTGTCCATTCTAATTTATAAATGTAAGAACTTAGGCCTACACAATAGAATAAACAATAAAACAAGCATGCTTGATTCACTTGTGCCCCTATTTAAAATAACATGCTTGCTTCACTTCTTTTTAGAAAATTTCCTTACTTTTGACAATAGACTCTGAATAGGTATATGACTATATCAGGGTTATTCTCAGTCAGAACTGTTATCAATGAATTTTATATTAAAGTTAGTGAACGTGGTATGGTGCAGTGTTCTATTTGAGCAATGTGCTACTGCAACTGTCATACCAGATGTCCTGGATATGGATCTGATGGTTACTTGCTTCCATTGGGGAGTTGTTTTACTTTTTTTTTTTAACAGCATTTCAAATTGTATAGGCCTAGGTCTAATTGCAATTTCTTCTAGTTTGCAATGTGACTGTAACAATTGCCAGTATATTTACAGAGAGTAAATTAAGTCGTTTCCACTAGATTTTAGATGGCAGTGCTAAGAACTAAAAACCTACCCTGAAAATTGTGATGTAAACATGAATAACAACTGATTAAAATGGACATGCTATTTCATCTGATAAGCCTTGGCCTATAGGCTAAACTATATTTTTTTTTAAAAATAGTTGGGGGCCTAATTGGATAGTAGCATTGTAACCTACAGTAATGATGCACAATTTATTACATTAAAATTAGTTTAGGGCTTCTTTTTGCAATTGAGAGGCCTATAATTTGCAAATTAATAGTTTAAATATTTTTTTAAATTTAGTTTAAAATTTGGAGAGATATGTTACTATAGGTCTACCTAGACTAGATCTAATACTAGCCTGTCTCACTAAATGTAAAACTTAAGTCCTCAACATTCTACTATGAAAATGTACAAACACTTATAATAGTCATTATAGTTGACACAAACGAAATCTGTTTTTAACAATTTGTGTGAATGTAACATTCACCAACTTCTTATTTATTATTATTTCCTCCTTAATTTTCTTAACTTCAGATGTCAAATTAAGCTTCTCTCCTAGTTGGAAATCTCATGTTAATGTTTTGCTTGAGAAGCTGAGTTTTGCCCTGAGATTGATGAAGTCCCTACTTTAGTCTATTAAGTCAGAGGTTTCTTCTTTTTTTTTTTAATGTATAAAATAGTTACATAACCATTCCTAAAGTTTAAAAAGAATTCTAATTTCAAAATTAGGCACTTGGGGTTGGCAAGCTTGCCAGTGATGAAAATGAACTAAGCCAAGCACCAGAAGAAGAAGAAGATTTTGATGTTTTAAATGAAGAAACATTTGGCGATTTGGGAGATGGTAAAAAAAAACTTTATTTTTTCAATGTATTTTAAATCATAGTCTTCTGTGTTAACTCTTTTGTGTTATTTCTTATTGTAATAATTTCTTTTTTTAAAAGGAGACTTTGACTGGGAAGAACATACTCGCATGGCCGAGGAGTTGGAAGGTTCTCTTTTTCCATCACATGAAGATCAGACTAAAGATTCTGGGTTCATCACAATGGACAGAGGATACTCCACTGCCACTCAGGAAGTATGTAATTGTAGGATTATACTCTAAACTTAGATGTCACAGTTAAGAACGAGTGAATGAAATTTTGAAATCTAATGTTCAGGATGAATTGGAGCAATCAATCAGTCGCCTAGTTGTTGATGATGGGGACAGCAAATGTTTCACTGCAAATGGTCAACCCATTCCTGGGGTATGTTTTCATATTTTTAGCATGGCTTTCTTTTCATTGATCATTAACCATGAGGCCTGATTATTTACCTTCAGGTATGATCATTTACCTTCAAGGATGATCATTAAAAATTCTAAACATGGCATCATGTTTGTTATATTTTTATAATTTTCAAAGCATGTTCTTGTTGTCAGTTGTTAACATATTTTCTTGCTGATTGTTGACAACTACTGTGCATAGATCATCCCAGCAGCAGAATCCTAAATACAGTCCTGTCTGCTTAACTTTATAACTCATAGTTGCAGCACATTTCTCACTACCCTATTCCTGAGAAAAGGGGCACAACTTTTAAAAATATATGGGATCCTTTTAAAACATCACATTAAATAAAAGCTTAAATAATAGTCACATAATTATTAAAAGTAAAATGGACAACAAATTTAAGAAAATATAAACACTATTTCTGTTAGTGAAATAAAAATGAAACATGCTAATGGCAAACATATAACATATTTGAGGCTAGAGCAAAACACTAATGCTAGCTATTATTACCAACCAGTCTGTGCTTCACTTAATTAATTATTAAATTAACTGTTATCACACCTGTATTTTATTTCCTCCCAATTTTCACATTTCCTCATAACTTAGCCCATAGGCATGCATAAGTGTACCCAAAAGTGATGATGCAAAGACATGGTAGTGAAAATTTTGGCAGTTTAAAAAGAAAAAAATATCACAACATATAGCCTACTTGTGTGTGATTTTGATATTGAAATACAGATCACATTAATAACATGAACAGATTCCATCAAAATATAATTAAAGAAATCCCAGCAAAACATTCTGATTATAAGAGCAAGAAAGAAATTACAGGAAACATCAGCCTTTTTTTTTACTATACTCGCTCCTTAATGCAACGTTATAAATTAATTTCTTTCTCAAAGAAGAAGTCATTTCTCAGGAGTTATCATCTCTGCCTGACCCTCGCATGCATGTTTTCAGCTCATTCATTCACATTTGTACTAACATGTGCCTTTTTCAAGTATTGATCTAACCTTTGTGTACTAACTGATTGTAAGAAGTTTTCATCTAATTATTTGTAGGTCCTAAGGAAATCCCACCTGGATGAACTCTTTGGTCCTAACTCTCCTCCAGGCTACATGGACTTGGAAACTCTGGTGTGTGGCTGTCCAATGTTTTACTTACAACATGGCTTTTTCTTTTCACCCAAACAACTTTGTTTTGTAGACAAATATAGCAGTAGTTAATGCTACTTGGGGTCTAACCAGGTTTAAAGGTTAATGAGTTGCATGAGGTTTTTAGTTTTGCACTGTTTATATTAACATATATTAACTTGACTTGTTAGTGTACATTGCTTTATGACTTTTGAAGTGAATTATTTTATAGTTGATTTTTTTTCGTGTGTTGAAAATAGAAGTAATATTCCTCTTTTAAGGAGAATTTAAAAATAATTGTGCTCCCATGTATTATGTTAAACTTTTAGTAGATTTAGTATTTCCCTTAATTTTTTTTAACCTATTGCCTTTTCAAACAAGTAGTTTTTGTGTGCTTAACTTTAAGTTGATACAATTTTCTCTAGTTTACTGTCTCATACTAGTCTTAGCTGAGTGAATGGTTGAAAGTTTGTGCTAACTGATTGATTGAAAGTTTTTGCTGATTGATTGATTGAAACCGTGTGCTAATTAATAGATTGAAACCTTGTGCTAACAGATTGATTGAAACCTTGTGCTAATTGATTGATTGAAACCTTGTGCTAATTGATTGATTGAAACTTTGTGCTAACTGATTGATTGAAACCTTGTGCTGATTGATTGATTGATTGAAACCTTTTGCTAACTGATTGATTGATTGAAACCTTGTGCTGATTCATTGATTCAAACCTTTTGCTAACTGATTGATTGATTGAAACCTTGTGCTGATTCATTGATTCAAACCTTTTGCTAACTGATTGATTGATTGAAACCTTGTGCTAATTGATTGATTCAAACCTTTTGCTAACTGATTGATTGATTGAAACCTTTTGCTAACTGATTGATTGATTGATTGAAACCTTGTGCTAATTGATTGAAACCTTGTGCTAACTGATTGATTGAAACCTTGTGCTAACTGATTGATTGAAACCTTGTGCTAACTGATTGATTGAAACCTTGTGCTAATTGATTGATTGAAACCTTGTGCTAACTGATTGATTGAAACCTTGTGCTAATTGATTGATTGAAACCTTGTGCTAACTGATTGATTCATTGAAACCTTGTGCTGATTGATTGAAACCTTGTGCTAATTGATTGAAACCTTGTGCTAGCTGATTGATTGATTGTAACCTTTTGCTAACTGATTGATTGATTGAAACCTTTTGCTAACTGATTGATTGAAACCTTGTGCTAACTGATTGATTGATTGATTAAAAGCTTGTGCTAACTGATTGATCGAAAGCTTGTGCTAGCTGATTGATTGAAAGCTTGTGCTAACTGATTGATTGAAACCTTGTGCTAACTGATTGATTGATTGATTGATTAAAAGCTTGTGCTAACTGATTGATCGAAAGCTTGTGCTAGCTGATTGATTGAAAGCTTGTGCTAACAGATTGATTGAAAGCTTGTGCTAACAGAACTTTTGTTTCTCCCTTTGTTTGTGCAGACCTCACCAGGGAAGAACATCTGGGGCTCCCCATCTGGAGACAACTTGTTCCAGAAACCTGTCAACAACACCCTCCAAGCCTTGTTTGCTTCAGCCAAGCAGGCAGCGTACCGTGATTTCCCAGGGGTTAGTCATCCAGGCACATGTTTCTCTCCTGTTGTCCTTGCTAATATCTTTTCCAGCTTTGTTATGTGCAAAGATAGAATTCTGGTTTTAAATGGGAAATTTTTTTCAAATTTCTGCACAAATAACTTAAAATAATCCCTGGAATACAAGAGTGATATAGTCATAGACTGAACAATCAGTCTATTGCACAGACCATTTAAACAGGCTGAGGGTCTTCTGCAGGTCTTTCATGATGCTAGATGTCCACCAGTCCCATCAGCAGCCTTGCCTTTGCCAGCAGAAGCTCAAACTCTGGCTGAAATAGAGCACAACATGTTGGCCCGTGAGCAGCACAAGCCTCGGGTGCTGACCTCTGAAGAGCTGGAGAGACAGCTGAGGGGAGAGCCACCTTTTGCACTGGACCAGAAAGCTCAGTACACACTGCCAGCACACATCCCCCCTGTTGGCACCTCTGTGGCATTCAGGAAGCAGGTGGGTCCATGCAGATCTCTACAGCACATTTTTACACTGGAATATGTCCGTCACATGAAATGAGTTGAATCTTTTTAATACAGTTGTATCAACATTTCTATGTCACAGCCTACTCAAGCTCCCCCTTTGATGGGCCACCTTGGCCCTAAAGTTTCTAATGGAGAAAGCTCCCCCATAAACATCATCAGACCTCACACAAGAACTATCCCTGGATTTCATGGTCTGTTGTATTTTACTATTCACTATTTGACTTTTTTGTTGTGCCTACTCATGTGAAGGTCAACTAAAAAAAGATTGTCTTATTTCAGAGTCTCCAATTCTCATGGGTCGTTCCCTGTCACCTTCACCTTCATCCTCACATTTTATGCCAGGCATCCCCCCACAGTCAGGCCTGTTGGCTCAGTCCCCCAGTGTTATGCCCCCTTACAGCCCAATGTTTATGGGTAAGATTTATTTGGCATGTATGTTTTTTGGCTTTAAAAAATTCTTTTTTTTTTAATCATTTTTAAAAAGCTTTTAATATAGACTTAAATAAGGATACTTATTCAAACAAGGATGGTATACTTTAAATTAGTTTAAAGAAAGATTCTTTTTTTTTTTAAATGGTAAACTTTAAGTAGACGTAAAGAAGGATTTTCATTTTTTTAAAAAGATTGTATACTTTAAATAGACTTTAAAAAAAAAGATTTTTATTTTTTAAAAAGATGGTATACTTCAAATAGACTTGCAGGATTTTGTTTTTAAAAATTCTCTCTCCTGTTCCAGCCAACTTGTTTGGTAATGCAATGTCAAGACCTCCACCTCCTGCACCCCCTCACATCACCAATATTGGTTCACCCTTTGGTTCGCCCTCTGCTGTTATTGCTCAAAGGTATTTCACATCATTTGCTGGCTCATCTCTAGATTGGCTCGCAGCTGATTCATTAGCAATGAACAGTTAAATTAGAACAGTTAAAATAAAAGGTAATCAATTGAAAGCATAGTTAATATTTTATGGCAACACTTGTCAAGCCCAGTATTTTATCGACTGTTTCTAGGCAACCCCTTGCACACATGCCTTATCAGCAAAGGACTGGCCCCTGGGAACATGGTCAGCTAGATGCTAGGACAGGTCAGCACTACGGAGAAAGGCGAGATCATTACAATGTGACCAGGGGACCTGGTCAGCATGCTCATTTCCAAAGGTAAGTTTGTACACAGATGGGACTGTCCTTACACATACAACAACAATCACTCAAGTCTTGTCAATTATAACTCTCAGTACAGTCCACTTTTAAAAGCCACAAAGAGCTGATTAGAGAAAGTGTTAACTATTTAAGATGAAATAATTATTTTCAGGTTTAACAAATATTTTTTTTATTCATATTTTTTACTAGGCAAAACAGCTTACATCATTTTTATTAATTTATTTAAAACCAACATTACTAATATAAACTAATCGTATTTGAATGCCCTACAAAATAATAGTAATTATTTATTTATATCAAAGAAATGCAATTAATAAGAAAAAAGAGTCGCTTTTTTTCTGGTAAAAATATACTCTTGTGTCAGAAAAACCAAAAGATAAAAATTATTTTTCATTGGCTCTAATTCATAGAATACTAAAAGTACATCCATTTTTCTGCCAAAATCTTGGATTGGATTAGTATTACAATAAATATTTGAATTTTGGTTAATTTTATAACACAGCACGGTAAACATTTTGACGCAGCCACTGAATTATTTTTTGTTGTTAAAAAAAGTACCGCTTTGCAAGTGGTTTTACAAAAACAAATTTTATAAAATACAAAAACAAAAAATCAGATAAACTGATAAGAAGTAAATGTACTAAAAATCTTTAAATGGTTAATCTGGTGATATCATGACCTAGATTTATGGTTAAAAACTAAGATTCTGCAAAACGATTAATTAAATGAGAAAATATTATCGAGGTGCTTTGAGTGTTGTTAAGTTATGGTAGGACATTTGTGTTAATGCGTTAAAAGCTGTATGTTACCAAAAAGTAAAAATGTTTTAACACCTTTGTATGTAGCCAAAAAGAATTGATGAGAAAATGTTTTAACACCTCTGTATGTAGCCAAAAAGAATTGATGAGAAAATGTTTTAACACCTCTGTATGTAGCCAAAAAGAATTGATGAGAAAATGTTTTAACACCTCTGTATGTAGCCAAAAAGAATTGATGAGAAAATGTTTTCAGACCGCAGCATCCAACTGGAGACTACGGCTACAGGGAGGTGGAGGACGAATACGCTGGCTTGATGACAAAGAAAGAGAAAGATTGGATCATTAAGATTCAGCTCATACAACTTCAGACAGACAACCCATATTTAGATGATTATTATTATACAGTAAGATTTACATCACTGTTATTTCCCATTTGTGCCCAGGGTACATGGGGCAGATCAAGTAGAGTTTATCTGCTTCTAAGACCTCGGCATAAGAGATAATTTGGTCAGCACTATGCTCCAGCCGCCTTTGTTTCCCTAACTTAAGTTAGGTATCCATCAGAGTTGGGTGGACTCATGGACATTGTACTGATTTGAACCCGGATTTGAACTTTCGGGTTAGCAGTCTAGCTCTCTACCGCTAGACCACGCTTTCCCATAAGCTTTACATAGTCTACTCCTTTTCAGATAGTACTCCCTATTGTCAACCTTTGTTAGATGATTATCATTAGACTGTGCTGATTATGATTAGCTGATTACCATTACACATTACTTTCATCAAGTAGAGTTAAGCCAAGAAATGCTTTCTTGTCTCATGTTTTAGTACTATACGATGAAGAAAAAAGCTGCAGACAGAGAGAAAAATCAAGATGTCACTGGAGACAAATCAAACAACGAATTAGAACTGCTTATACCTAATATGGTCAAACTAGAACCTCGGACGTATACACCAGGTAGGCCTCACATTATCTGATAGATTTAGTTTTTTTAGGTTTTAAATATGTTATTATCTGCCCTGCTTTCAGTGACGTTATCCTAAAAAAATCAAACCTCTATTGCACATCTACAAGTCTGTTGTTTCTTGCAGCTCAGTTTGAAGGATCTTTGGGGAGGCTTACAGCAGCCAGTGTCCACAACCCTCGTCAAATTATTGATGTATGTAGGAATGCCTCGCCAACCAATGAAAACTCTACCCAAAAGAGCGTAAGCAAAGAGCTAAGAAAATATCGTCAGCTCTTAATGGACATTGAAAAGGTGCTTTGTTTGCTTGTTTCTTCAGTTAATCATAAACCTTAGTTACAAATACATTAAAAGAAGTAAATAACTTATTTTTTCAACTTTTACTCATCAATTTAATTGACATACGAAGTGAATTTGTTTTGCAGGGTTTCAATATTATCCTGGATGTGGATGATATAGAAAAAAAAGTGCTTGCTCTTCCTAGTGAAAATAGGTAACCCATAATGAACACTCCTATGGCCATCAGTAGTTTTTAAGTTATCAGGTGGTCAGCTCACCTCAATATAGTGTTTAACGGTGGTCAGCTCACCTCAATGTTAAAAGGTTGACATATCCCAGCATGCATGTTGTCTTGTATTACATGGGTTTTGTTGTTGTTGCAGATTGCCCCTGTTTGAGGAGAGGTTGGAGAAAATACAAGCTGTGTATGATTATTTTATGCAAGATGACAGTCTGAAGAATTTTTTGCCCACACTAGGTGTAAGGAAAGGTCGCAAGCTTTTAGCGCGACTCATGCCTCTACTAGACAAGGTAAAACTCTCTCCTGTCCTACCACATTCTTCTAGTACATACACAATAATTTGCTGGACATTTCATCTAATTATAGTAAATAATACCATGAGGAATCTGTAGTGAAGTCAAAACTACAATCTGATTGGCAGGCTGGACCATACCATCCTCCCAACTTGAATCTGATTGGCCATATATTGTCATTATGTAGAGATTTCACCTTCATATATTATGTTACCAGCTTCAGCCTTGTTAAGTGAATCATGATTGAGTCTAACAATGTATTGTTGATTGCAGGTCCAGTGGCTGTCTATTGTCACAGTGTTCTTGTCCCATTTGCCAATATTGATAAAAAAAGATCAAGATGAAGAAGTGAGTAACTCCCCAAACCATTGTCTTTGTGTACTGGAGGTCTGGTACTGGTAATCAAATGTTAAAGAGAGCTGCACTATCCACAAATAGGTTTTATATCAATGGTTTTCTTGTGCTAGCACTGGTTCTTCAATTTTCAAGGTTTTTTTTAAGTCAAGATAATTTTCTTAAAATAACTGGAAATATAATGAGTGAATGCAATGAAACACTTCTGCTGGTTGTTGAGGCTTCAATGTAGCTGATGTAGGGATGTCTAAATAAGTTTCTCCATTGACTATGGTTTTAAAACATGTTAGCATTTTAAATTTTTAAGTAATCATAGCTTGTATATCACTTTAAATTTGGTATGTGTAAATCACTGAGCTATTTAGACACGGTCATAATAAATATGAGTATTTTTTTCAGTATAAATTTTCCACAATGGCTTGTGTTAAATTATTTTTGTAATTATTTTAAGTCATTTTAAAAACTATTTGTTTGGTCATACTGGAAGTAAAAATGTTATTCTGCCTGATGGTCACTATGTTAAAATGAGCATCATATTAACTGGTTTCCCTGCTCATAACTTACTGCAGAGGATAAACAAGGGGAGACAATATTTTTAAGTAGTTGTTATAGGTATTTAAATTTTATTTGGGTTGAAATATTTTTAAAATTCTTTTATCAGTTAAAGAATTATTATAATTCCAAAAACATGCTTCATATAATGAAGAAATATGTTTACTCTAACCAAATTATCTCAAAGTGTTTGTCTATGTGCTAGCAAAATGCTGTGCTTTGGTCACCTGTTACAGATGTTTGATTATTGTTTCCTACGTGCAGGGTCTGCAAGTGTTGATGCCCCCTCTGTCCAGGTACTTGAGCCAATGTGATCTGGAATGTTTGGTCCACTTTGCCACCATCTTACAGAAACATCCCAAACAAAATGAAGAAGGTCTTTTACTACTGCTACACAACTCTGTAAGTTACTGCAAGTTTGACTCTATTTGAGCTGAAGTTATGAGAGGGTCAATAAAAGTTACTGCAAGCTTGTAGAGCTAGATTTATGAGAGAGTCAGACACTAAGACTTTTATCAATTTACACAATTTATTTTTTGCACACAAAAATCTGACATTTTTTTTTCTAATGTAAGAAAACCCCTTTGACTTGTTCAGTATTTAAAGAAAAATGGCATTGATTGTTGTTAAAAGTGCCATAGGTTTGGCTTTACTGTGTTGTTGGTTCCACATTTTGGCCTGACTGTGTTGTTTCCTTATCTCCACAGTTCGGCATCTCTTTACTGTGTTGTTTAATCAAGGCAGGAGAAGATTACTTTAAAAACACTTCCCCAATAGACATTGATAACCAGTTGAAGACACAATGGTAACTTAAATTATAAGCTTTTGATCACTCTTTCTTTCTCTCACTTCTAATGCTTTTACTAAAGAAAGAAATTTTATTATTTACTGTGCATTTAAAATCTTCTTTAAAAAGTTGTATATTTATTTGTTGTTATATGAAGTGCTGACAGGCATATGTTGAGCTAATTTCTTGTTGTTATGTGAAGTGCTGACAGGTATATGTTGAGCTAATTTCTTGTTATGTGAAGTGTTGACAGGCATATGTTGAGCTCATTTCTTGTTATGTGAAGTGTTGACAGGCATATGTTGAGCTCAGTTCTTGTTGTTATGTGAAGTGTTGACAGGCATATGTTGAGCTCATGTCTTGAGCTGCTTGCTATTGCAGGACACAGTTCATTGAGGAGTTTGTGGTCAGCTTGGAGACTGTCCCCACAGAGGAGCTGGCCTGGCCTGACATGCACCAGCCACAGGTGGGCGAGCATGTGGACAGGTTCATCAACAACAAGCTGATTGGCTCCGTGGAAGATAAGCTGGCCCACTTCTCCAAGCCCAGACCCAAACACATGTTACACCAGGAGGTCAAAGTTGAATCATGACGTAGGTGCTAGCCTGGCTTGTCTGGTTTCATGTCCTGTGCTGTTAGAGTAACGGTTACCTAATGATGTCCTGTGGTGTTAAAGTAATGATTACCAAATGATGGATGCAATTTTTTCTCTCATTACTTACAAGAAAAGCTTGTTTTTTTTTATTTATTGAACCTACTGTATGGACCATACACATGGTAGTATGTGCTGGGACTGCTTTGTTTGATACATTCTTACACCAGTTGTTGAGATTATTACTAAACAAATCTTGCTTTGCTAAAACCATACATTTTTTTATAATAGACAAATCACCTTACCATGGAGGAGCATGGGTGGTCAACATTGTTTTTTACATTGTATTACTCTAGTGTGTGTTAGTTTATCATGTTCAGCCAGTCCCTGCCAACTGTCAGCCCATTCCTGCCAGATGCCTGCAGTCAGCCTGTCACAGGCCAGTATTCAGCCATCCCTGCCAGCACCCACGCACCTGTCAGTGGTCTCTGTCAGTGGTCAGCCCATCCCTGCCAGCACCCACACACCTGTCAGTGGTCAGCCCATCCCTGCCAGCACCCACACACCTGTCAGTGGTCAGCCCATCCCTGCCAGCACCCACGCACCTGTCAGTGGTCTCTGTCAGTGGTCAGCCCATCCCTGCCAGCACCCACACACCTGTCAGTGGTCAGCCCATCCCTGCCAGCACCCACACACCTGTCAGTGGTCAGCCCATCCCTGCCAGCACCCACACACCTGTCAGTGGTCAGCCCATCCCTGCCAGCACCCACACACCTGTCAGTGGTCAGCCCATCCCTGCCAGCACCCACACACCTGTCAGTGGTCAGCCCATCCCTGCCAGCACCCACACACCTGTCAGTGGTCAGCCCATCCCTGCAAGCACCCACACACCTGTCAGTGGTCAGCCCATCCCTGCAAGCACCCACACACCTGTCAGTGGTCAGCCCATCCCTGCAAGCACCCACACACCTGTCAGTGGTCCCTGTCAGTGGTCAGCCCATCCCTACCAGCACCCACACACCTGTCAGTGGTCAGCCCATCCCTGCCAGCACCCACACACCTGTCAGTGGTCAGCCCATCCCTGCCAGCACCCACACACCTGTCAGTGGTCCCTGTCAGTGGTCAACCCATCCCTGCCAGCACCCACACACCTGTCAGTGGTCAGTCCATGGCTATCAGTCCAAGATATACATTTATATTTACATGTTTATTACTTCTTGGCTTAGCTAGACAATTGGTACAATTATAAAGTAGTTAAGGTTTTATTTGTTTGGTTAGCTACAATAGTCAAGTTGTCATGTGAAGTGTTCTACAATAGTCAAGTTGTCATGTGAAGTGTTATACAATAGTCAAGTTGTCATGTGAAATGTTCTACAATAGTCAAGTTGTCATGTGAAATGTTCTACAATAGTCAAGTTGTCATGTGAAATGTTCTACAATAGTCATGTTGTCATTTAAAATTTGTGCCAGGCATTGATGTACATGCAGCCTGTTGGCAGGGGCATGGAACCTGTTGGCAGGGGCATGGAACCTGTTGTCAGGGGCATGGAACCTGTTGGCAGGGGCATGGAACCTGTTGGCAGGGGCATGGAACCTGTTGGCAGGGGCGTGGAACCTGTTGGCAGGGGCATGGAACCTGTTGTCATGGGCATGGAACCTGTTGGCAGGGGCATGGAACCTGTTGGCAGGGGCATGGAACCTGTTGGCAGGGGCATGGAACCTGTTGTCAGGGGCATGGAACCTGTTGGCAGGGGCATGGAACCTGTTGGCAGGGGCATGGAACCTGTTGGCAGGGGCATGGAACCTGTTGGCAGGGGCATGGAACCTGTTGGCAGGGGCATGGAACCTATTGGCAGGGGCGTGGAACCTGTTGGCAGGGGCGTGGAACCTGTTGGCAGGGGCATGGAACCTGTTGGCAGGGGCGTGGAACCTGTTGGCAGGGGCGTGGAACCTGTTGGCAGGGGCGTGGAACCTGTTGGCAGGGGCGTGGAACCTGTTGGCAGGCGCATGGAACCTGTTGGCAGGGGCGTGGAACCTGTTGGCAGGGGCATGGAACCTGTTGGCAGGGGCGTGGAACCTGTTGTTAAAAAAGTTAAGTCACTGTGGGAATCTTTGGGCCCTTCTGGCACATTTCATGGGAATTATCTAGCCCACTGTGGGTTCTAAGAAATGAGACTGGTCTTATTTTAAGCAGCTAATGTAATTGTTGTAATTAATTCAATTATCACTTTGACTAAGAATAAAATATCTGTCCCAACAGTTGGGCCATTATATTTGACAATACATACCCTCTGTAGAAGTACTCAGCCAATGAGTCTTGTGTATTGACATGTGGTCATCTTGTATGGCTAGGTGAGCCCAACTAGTGTGTGGAAGTGCTGGACCAAGCCTGCCACATTTGTTCACACATTTTCTTTAATAAACTGAGTTCAAATACATTTCCCTAGGATGTGCTGATGGGACATACACCACCACAGCTCAACACACTTTCTTACAAAGCTTTCTTGGTTCCCAGGATTAGACCTAATGCTTTAGTAGAAACTGATGTTTTGTTTCCCCGAATGAGCCGATGCTTAAATCAGCAATTCTTTAAGCTTTAATTTGACTGACCAGCCTTGTTTACTGCTCTGAATCCTGTGATAATTTGTTTATCTCCCTTTGTATGGCACAAGAAGTGCTGTTTGGCCAACCTTTGTGTATGCCATAAGCAATTTGGCCAACCTTTTGTCAATGGATCTGGTTTATCTGGGCTGTTTTATCATCTTTTCTATTCACTATTTTTGTACTTAGTATGCATGTGTATGATATATTTCTTGTTTTCTCCTAAAATGAACTTGTTAATGTAAAAGTAAAAAAAATGACTACATGAAATAAAATAGAAAATGAAATCAAGAAGAATAATTATGTTTCACTTGTTAATTTTTTTCATTGTTTGCTTTTGGTAAAATACTAGAAATAAATTAATTATCAAGATATATGGTTATAACATGTGATGGTGTCTCTAAAAATTCAATCACATTTTGTTGTCAGATGACATTATGATTCATCACAACATGGCTGTATCATAACATCACACTGTCATCACATGTGTCATGGCAGTATTATTACAACATCACAATCCATGGCAGTATTATTACAACATCCCAATCCATGGCAGTATTATTACAACATCACAATCCATGGCAGTACATTTACCAATACAAATGACACGTACATCGTCATGACAACTGTCATTGCTATAGGCCTACATTACTGATGACATGACAACTTGTATGAATAAGGTGACATAAACGGACTACACTACAGAAATAAGAAACATGTATATAGAGAGAGTTGAGGGTAAATTTACAACGCATGATACAATGAAAAATCTTATCAGAAACAACGTCATAATTTACTTTACATATTTACAATGTGGGGGGCAAAACTATATATTCAAATAAAATCCTTTTTTTATTGGAGGGGGGGGGGGGCGGAGCCGAAGAGATGCCTGGAAGAAACTCAGTTCGTGGTTAGTGTAGGAGTGCTAGACTTTGGTGGTTTAGTGTAGGGATACTTAGAATTATTTTGGTGTTGTTGTTTTTTTTAATTGTGAAAATAGTGTGTTAAAAATGTGTGGATTAAGTGTTAAAAATATATGACAAAATTGAGAAAAAAAAACGTGTACAAATACAAATGTTTGAAATAATTTTGTGCAAATGTGTGAAATAATCGTGTACAACTGTGTGAAATTCTTTCTTCTTCTTCTTCGTTCTTAATTATTAGTGTTGAAGGGGATCGAGATTTATCTGCCGGTGGGTTTGAACTCGAGACTTTCGAATTTATCAACCATGAGCTTTTTGCCGACTCGACCACGCCGACCCCTAGTCGTGTGTGAAATAAGCGTGTACAAATGTGTGAAATAAGCGTGTACAAATGTGTGAAATAAGCGTGTACAAATGTGTGAAATAAGCGTGTACAAATGTGTGAAATAAGCGTGTACAAATGTGTGAAATAAGCGTGTACAAATGTGTGAAATAAGTGTGTCTCTGACGACCGTGCTGTGAGTGTCCTCACGTTCCTGCAGCCAGTCACTTTCTTTGTCCGGCGGTGCCAGTGATAGCCGGGTGAGTAACGTCATGCCCGCTCTTTCTTCCCGCGCGGCGGCAGATGATGAAAGACACGGCTAACTCACCGACCGCACACTCGCGACACGGCTACCACACCGACACACACTCGCGACACGCCAAACACGGCAAGCACGCGACCCGGGTACTGTTAGAGGTAAGCTTAAGTTTTATTTTATAGGAGTAGATTTATCATCAACGCTTGGATAGTAAATAAAAAAAAACCATGGTAATTACGCATAATATGCGTAATTACTATGTTTTTTTTAGTCCGCCACAAATATATTGCTACATAGCCCTATATAGCCTATTTAGGCCTATATATGCCTATAGGCCTATTACAATTATACAATTATTTTATTACATGTAAATATATAGGACTATAGGCCTATACATGTACGTTTCTGTGGTTGGTTTCTGAATGAATATGCCCGTTAGTTTAAGCAACTATTTTATTCAAACTGTCATATCGATTCTCCCGATCCCCACGCTCAGTCTACACCCCTCTACGTGATTCGTTTAGTGCTGCTCATTGTTTGATAAGCCTACCATTGATACACAAAAAGCAAAATATTTTCGCAAATCTATATGCTGCACGACTACTTAGGCCTACCAACTAAATTTAGGCGAACACCGATCAAACGAGCATTGGAGACATGTATCAATATTCTAGTGGCTTGAGTTCGTGCTAACACTTAAGTTTATCTTTATGACCTGATTTGATGCCGCACAGAAACCTCGCATTTAAATTAATTTAATTTTGTTTTTTTCAATCATTTCAAGTCGCCCCTCACCCCGCCACACACATGGTCTTAAGACCTCTTATTTAGCCAAATAATTTGTTTTAACAAATTTCTGTGAGAAAACCTGGCAAGTTTTAAAGGACTAGACCTACACTTTATTTTTCAAAAGTAGGCCACGTCTGGAAACATTTCAAATTTATGTTAGAGTCAGTTAGAACCTATCTAGATCTAGACTAGATCTAGATTTAGAGGTAGATCTAGATCTAAAACATTTTCATCGTCATTGAGAAAAAAACATTCTAGAATCTAGGTCTGGATAGATCTAGATCTATAGATTTCTAAAAGAAATTCTTAGAAATAGATTTTAGTTTGTGTGTTAACTTTAATACTTTATCCATCCATTCAAAATTGAAAGAAAAAGATAGATTCTAGATCTAGATCTCTAGTCTATATCTAAATCTAGATCTACTATTCTACTAATCATTCTACAGTTCAATCTCAATGCAATTTTAAATTACAACTTTACTTTATTATAATTATAGACTCTTATGTATGTAAATTAAGAGTTTAACTTCAGCCGACTAAACTTCAAACTAAAGGCTTAAGGTGTGTTTGAATTTTATTCCCCGCTTCACGTTCACCTCCAGTTGAATTAGCAGGCTAGTTTTTTTCAGCATTTTTATGCTTAAGAAATAGAAAATAAAGGCCTCATCCCATTTCTTGAACCCTCACTATGCTTATGAACAAAAAATATTTGCAAAGTTCCACTCCTGTTAACTTTACATTGAAACTGAGTTTCTGTTCACCCTTTGATCATACCTTTTAATTAGTAATAATTAGTTTGTTAGGTCAGCTCAACTAGTAAGCCTAATTAATAGTAATTATTATTGAAGGAGACAAACACATTTAGCCTATAGGAAAATAGCCTTATATATATATATATATATATATATATATATATATATATATATATATATATATATATATATATATATATATATATATATATAGCCTATATTTATTTATTTATTTATTTACTAATACATAATATTCTTTTTTTAAATCGGGTATGAAAATTTGATTATATATTTTATTGTAAATTTAGATTTATAATAGTCAAGGTGTCTAGAACTAATGGGTTAAAATCAAACAGGAACATCAATCTTATCTAAATATTGCTAACCAAGGATAAAAAAAAAATTTGGTTTAAAATTTAAAAAAAGCTGCTAAAATTTCATTAAATATTCAGAGCAATGCTTTAGCCCTTCAGGCTAGAACTAAATCAAGCTTCCATAGACCTACTATTATAAATGTTACTGTCTATCTATGCCTTAGTGAAATGATTTTTTTACTGTAAATTTATCTTTACATTTTTATTACAGTCATTATTGAGATTTTTTTGCAATTGACCTTTACATTTTTATTTTTATAAATGTTAAATCTCTAAGACCTGTATCTAGAAATGATTCTCATGATGGGTTGAAGTGTTATGTTTAGTTTAAGTTATGTTTTGGACTTGGTCTAGACTAGATTACCAATTAAAGACGTATGAGTGCTAGGACTGGGTCAATAACCATTAGGCGCCTATTGCCTAGTAGAAAAATAAAATAAAGTGTAGATAACCATTAGGGACTCGCTAGCTAGAAAAGAAAATATAGTATAGCGTAGATAACCATTACTAGCTAGACAAAAAATATATTATAGCGTAGATAACCATTACTAACTAGACAAAAAATATAGTATAGCGTAGATAACCATTACTAGCTAGAAAAGAAAATATAGTATAGCGTAGATAACCATTACTAGCTAGACAAAAAATATAGTATAGCGTAGATAACCATTACTAACTAGACAAAAAATATAGTATAGCGTAGATAACCATTACTAGCTAGAAAAGAAAATATAGTATAGCGTAGATAACCATTACTAGCTAGAAAAGAAAATATAGTATAGCGTAGATAACCATTACTAGCTAGACAAAAAATATAGTATAGCGTAGATAACCATTACTAGCTAGACAAAAAATATAGTATAGCGTAGATAACCATTACTAGCTAGACAAAAAATATAGTATAGCGTAGATAACCATTACTAGCTAGACAAAAAATATAGTATAGCGTAGATAACCATTACTAGCTAGACAAAAAATATAGTATAGCGTAGATAACCATTACTAGCTAGAAAAGAAAATATAGTATAGCGTAGATAACCATTACTAACTAGACAAAATGAAGTATTTAATAAAAGTCAGGCTTCCACAATATTTACAATGTTAGACTGTTAGCTTCACTGACTAGGAGATAATAATTTGAAGACACTTTCTGATTTAATAAGGAAATTCTTATTGCTTTTTTCAAAGTTTCGAGTCAATTGTTTAAAAGTATTTAATAATTTTTGTAGTTGTTTACCTTTTAAATTATTTATAATTTTTTTCTTTTTTTAGCATTGGTGGTTGGATTAAAGGATTAAGTTCACTGAGGATTAACAAACGCCAGGAGAACTGTTTGTGGCTGTTGTCTGTTGTAGACACGTAACAATAGTTACTGTTGGTAAGTTCTCTTGTTGCAATATTTAGTGTTAGCCTGAGGATTCTTTAAGAAATCATCTCAATCATTTCACCATTGTTCATTGTGCCTGTAATATCAGTGTCATCTTCTACCATTGTCTTGTTGTGCAGCCATCTTGCCTGTTCCAAATCTTTAGATCACTACTCTCTGATACAAATACAATTCTTGTGGGCTTACATAAGGCCACACAATTCTTGTGAGCTTACATAAGGCCACACAATTCTTGTGGGCTTACATAAGGCCACACAATTCTTGTGAGCTTACATAAGGCCACACAATTCTTGTGGGCTTACATAAGGCCACACAATTCTTGTGAGCTTACATAAGGCCACACAATTCTTGTGAGCTTACAAAGGCCACACAATTCTTGTGAGCTTACAAAGGCCACACAATTCTTGTGAGCTTACATAAGGCCACACAATTCTTGTGGGCTTACATAAGGCCACACAATTCTTGTGGGCTTACATAAGGCTACACAATTCTTGTGGGCTTACATAAGGCCACACAATTCTTGTGGGCTTACATAAGGCCACACAATTCTTGTGGGCTTACATAAGGCCACACAATTCTTGTGGGCTTACATAAGGCCACACAATTCTTGTGGGCTTACATAAGGCCACACAATTCTTGTGGGCTTACATAAGGCCACACAATTCTTGTGGGCTTACATAAGGCCACACAATTCTTGTTGGCTTACATAAGGCCACACAATTCTTGTGAGCACAAAACTATGTGGGCTTAGAAAGGGCCACACATTTCCTGTAAGGCCACAGGCTTTATGAGAAAAGTGGGCCATTCTGAAAATTATGCAAAGCTTTTTTTAACGCTTGTCAGAAAGCTTTTGTATCAGCACCCATCAGACTTAAGCGTGTCTATTTTAAGCAATACCACAGCCACACTTGAAGAATTGAAGCTTTAATCAGACATGAAGATGTAAGCCAAGTTTACTCACCCCACCCCCATCAGCCCCACCCCCATCAGCCCCTCCCACATCTTGTGTTATCTTTGATCAAACACTTGTCTGCAATTGGTTGTACACTCACCCTCTTTTTTTTTAAAGCTGGCATTGATTAATGGCACTAGCTTGAGGGGGAGGGGGTGAAGAAATTATTTCTACGAGCCGACCCGCAGCGTATCATACGCCGCTATTTAGTTTTTTTATTTTCTACTTTTCAGTAATTCATAATTTGTGAATTCGACAGTACCAATGCTGCCACTGAAAATATTTGCTTTAAAACACACCCCCCCCCTTTCCCCTAACCCCGTCCCTACACCCCCCCCCCCTGTGAAAGCAGCCCCCTCTTAGTTATTTCTTAGTTACCTCCTGTAAGTTTAAAATCGAACTAGATCTAAATTATCTGCCCCTAATAGAAACCCGGCTCTACGGCTCTACGATTTGTAAACATTTAGCTTTGTAAACATTTAGCGTGACCACAGCTCACCAGACAAAGTGGGGGTGGGGTGGGGGTGGTAGTGATAGTGATAGAGAGAAAGAGAGGGGACTGCAAGGAGGTGCTTGCAGCTTGTTTTCTAACGGCTCCCAGAAGAGAATTATATATATATGTAACTAGGGGAAGTTACCAAGAGACATAACGTGTTACAGTCTGACGTCACAGTGCAGGTGTTGGCTGAGGCCAAGGCGTAATATCTCGGGAAGCGATACGAAAGACGGTCTGTCAACTTTGATGTGACAGGATGCAGGTGGCTTATTAAAATCGGACTGTACAACAGAAGCGGCGTAATGCAACGATTACGATTACGATTATGATAGGACCGAATATGAGTACGATTATGAAGGGGATATATATGGGAAGGCGACGGCTGGTTCAGTGAGACTGGAAGACAGACTCTCTCGCCCGCTCTCTCTCAGTGAGTCTGTGTGGCAGTATCAAGTTGGTTATATTGTGTTAAGAAGGACGTTAGACATGTGTATTCAGTTAGATGAAGCCTAGTGAGGACTGTTGGGGGTCCGTTGATTCAGACTATTATTGTGAAACATCTCTCTTGATTCATTATATTATTGTGAAGCATTCTTTGATTCATGTAATAAAAGGATCAATAATGAACCTGCATCTTCGAGTATCTATGCTGTGGTCAATGTTGTGTGGAATGAGTGGTTAGACTCGGGAAGGTCACATTTGGCGTTGTCGCCAGGGTAGCCAGAGACTCGTTACATTTGGCGTTGTCGGCAGGATAGACTCGGGGACTCGTTACATTTGGCGCTGCGAGCAGGGTATGCAACTTGCCTAGGTAACAATTGGCGTCGTCGACCAGGATGAATTCAACGAGACTTGCCGCTTTAGGCACCCATGGTCAACCTAGTTCATAACTGTGTTTAGTGTGTGTGTGAATTCGGATATTCAGGAACAGTGAAAATTGAGGAACGAGGAAAAATTTTTTCATACACACACGGTAAGAAAGAACTCTTTTTTTTTTACTAAAGGAATAAAATGTCTACTCTGGACGAGAAGCAGACCCATATTGTGGTCCTGCCCAGAGAGTCCCACATTAACAAATTTTACGGGGACGGTGATCCAACTTTAACCAACAGGTTCAGTGAGGAGGTCAAAGCGGCCTGGGCCTCGAGAAACATGTCACCAGAGGAAAGATTAAGACTGCTGATGGGCAGTATAGGAGAGACGGTTAGGTCAGAGGTCAAATGCCACGATAAAACCGTCCAATCAGATCCAGATAAGGTGCTGGATCTAATTATGGAGACCTTTGGGGAGAGACGGTCGGGATCGCAACTGCTATCGGGGTTCGTAGGCTTAAAGCAGAGAATGGCGGAGAGTGTGATGGAGTATTCACACCGAATAAACAGGGCCTTTGATTCGGTAAAGGGCAAAACACCTGACATTGATGTACGCCTACTGAGGGACCAGTTCATCGAGGGGCTAGCAACCCCGATCTTAAGGAGAGAGTTGAAAGAGGAGGTCCACAAAGACCCGCAGTTGACCTTCCTTCAGGTCAGGAACTCAGCGATCCGCAGGTCCGAGGATGAGGACCAATCGAACTGTTCGGTGGACAAAGTCTCGGTGCCGGAACAGAAACAATCCCCAACCACGGGGACCGGCACGGTGGAAACCATGATGGCTCAACTGTTGGCCCACCTGGATAAGGTTGACCAAAGATTGGAGAGGTTAGAAAGCAGGTCAACAGCTGAGAATCAGGAAAAGAACGGGCCAAAACAGAGACAGGTTGGACGGCCGCGACCCGCCGGTCCATCACTCCGGTGGACGGCTGACGGTCGACCAATTTGCTTGTCCTGTTCACAACCCGGACATATGGCACGGTACTGCCAGGGAAACGGTCGTCCTCTGTAAGGCAGGGCCAGGCTACAGAGGGGCGAGGTTATGGCCCAAGAAGCAAAATGATGGGAGTCTGTCCCGAAATGGTGATTACGATTGGGGACATCGCGGTGAAGGCAATTGTGGATACAGGCTCCCAGGTGACGACAATCACGGAAAATTTTTACACCAAATGGATGAAAGGAAAAGACCATAGGTTGAGGTCTGACACATGCATGCGCCTGACGGCAGCTAATGGACTAACCATTCCATACTGTGGTTATGTTCTGGCGGATGTCGTGGTGGCGGGACATAGGTTGAAGCAGGTTGGGGTGTTCGTTACGAAACACAACCTAGAGACAAATGTGTCAAATATACCTTGCCTGTTGGGCATGAATATTCTTGGCCAGTTGCCAGAATTTCTTACAAATATTGTCGGATCGACCACACCAGGTCGGGGATCCAAGTTGGCCAGGTTTGCTAAGACCAGAGGAAGGATATCAGTCCCGGCAAACACGGTCAAGGCAATCACATTACAAATTGGTGATAGAAGCGTGAATGGTGATGTGATGATAGAACCATGTGGCGCCGCACTGAGGGCAGGCGTCGTGTTACTGCGGACATACACATCAGCGGAAAATGGACTAGTTCAAGGATTAGTGGCAAATGTTTTGGATGAGGAAATTTTTATACCGCCTAACACTCTGGTAGGAGTACCACAGAACGTCGAGGTACAAAAGTCGGCACAGTGCATCGAACTGAGCAATACCAGCAGTAATGAAGTAACAGTTAGGTCGGTCAATGTGACGGCCGAGGTGAAGAAAGAGGATGGCCGATCATATACATTCCCGGAAACTGAGGACCCAAAACTAAATGAATTGTTGAATAAGTACAGGGATATATTTGCCTCGTACGAGGGTGATTTGGGTTACACGGAAGTAATAAAACACCAGATACCCTTACTACAAGACAAGCCGGTGGCGCAACCTTATCGAAGATTACCACCGAGTCACTACTCTGCGGTGAAAGCACACCTGAACGATCTACTAAAAAAGGGAATTATTACAACCAGCACGAGCCCGTATGCGGCACCGATAGTAGTGGTAAAAAAGAAGTCAGGGGAGATAAGACTGTGTTGTGATTACCGGAAATTGAACAATATCACAAGAAGGGATGCATTCCCCTTGCCTCGTATTGATGAATGTCTTGATGCGTTGGGGGGAGCAAGATTTTTTTCTACCTTGGATTTGGCTAGTGGCTACCACCAAGTGGCCATGCACCCCAACGATCAACATAAAACGGCATTTATTTCTCCACTGGGACTGTACGAGTGGACCCGTATGCCGTTTGGTCTAACTAATGCACCTGCTACATTCCAGCGAGTAATGCAGAGTGCTATGAGTGACTTTCTATTTCAAATAATGTTGGTGTACTTGGATGATATACTAGTTTATTCAAAAACTTGGGAGGACCATCTAGAAAGATTAGAACAAGTGTTTCTCCGTCTTAGGGAGATAGGAGTAAAGCTGAACCCAGACAAATGCTGCTTCGGTCTGAAATCGGTACATTTTTTGGGTTACGTGATTTCGTCGGATGGCATCGCCACTGACCCAGATAAAATTGCAGCTGTTAAAGAATGGAAACAGCCAACAACTACAGTAGAGGTCAGATCATTCTTGGGCTTTGCTTCCTATT